GCGGGGGAGGCCCGGGCCGGGCCGGGCCGAGCCGGGCCGGTGCCGAGGCCCCGCGCGCGCTGAAACCCGAGCGCCGAGTCAGGTTTCAAAACAGAGCGAGACCCCGCGCGTCCTCCCCGCCCGCCGCCAATGATTAACTCTGTCAGCAGCGGCGCCTCCGCAAGCGCCGACTTGAGGGGGGGACATAAAAGACGCCCCCCCTTGTCCCCTCACGCCGCCGGCCGCCCCGGGGGGGCGGGTGGCGCGGGCGGGAGGGGAGGCCGAGGCGCGGCCAAGGTAAGCGCCATGTTTGCACGGGAAGAAAGAGCCGGGCGAGGCGAGGGGAAGGAGGGAGGGAAGGAAAAGTTGGCGCTCACCTCTTGGACTGCGTCTCGGACGGGTTGCGGTCGCGCTGCCGCCGGTTCTTGAACCAGTTGCTGACCTGCGTGAGGGAGAGCCCGGTGATCTTGGCGAGGTTGCGCTTCTCGGCGGGCGAGGGGTAGCGGTTCTGCTTGTAGAGCTCCTTGAGCGCGTTGCGCGACTTCTCCTTGAAGCAGTAGACGGTCTCCTCGCCGTCCCAGATGGTGCGCGGCAGCGGGTACTTCCTGCGCAGCCGGTACTTGTCCACGGCGCCCAGGGGTCTGCCGCGGGCGCGCTCCGCCTCGCTGTAGCGCGCCTTGTACCACAGCTCCTGCAGCAGCGCGTGGTTCGCCGCCTCGAAGTTGTGGCTCTCCAGGATGCTGTAGAGCTCCGCGTAGATGCCCTGGTGGAAGGCGACGAGCGCCCGCGCCTTCATGAGGCTCTCGTTGCCACGTAGCAGGTCGCTCGGGGGCAGCGACCAGAGGAAGCGGGCCAGGCGGTCCAGGTTGCCCCCCTGCTGCAGCGCCTCGCACACGCACGCGACGTGCTCGGGGGAGAAGGCGAGCGGCGGCTGCGAGGACGACGACGAGGACGAGGAGGAGGAGGGAGAGGAGGCAGCGGCGGCAACGTGGTGGTTCCTGGCGAGCAGCTCGCTCTGCAGCAGGACCTGCTCGGCMGCCCCCTCCTCGGCGGCCTCCATGGGGAAGGGGCCCGCGGGCGGCTGCGCGGCCGGCCCTTCCCGCGGCGCCTCGGCGCCCATTTCCATCGCGTTCTCCTGCTTGATCTCCGCCGCGCTCGGCGGCTTCTCCGCGGCGGGGGCAGACGACATGGTCGGGCTTGTTGTCTTTTCTTTCTTTTCCCTGCTCTCGCCTTGCTCCCCTCCTGCGCCCCCCCGCTCTGCGTCTCCGCGGCGCGGCCCGCTGCTCCTCCTCCCGCTGCCGTGGCCGCCGGGCTCGCTGCCGCGGGGAGCACCAGGGCGCCCGCCGCCGCC